CCCACTGTCCAACACGGCAAAGGCTCCCCATGTCCCCTGTGCCCGGCACAAGACTGGGCCCTGGGAGCAGGTGGGCAGCCGCTACCTGCAGCAAAGATGGCCAGAGAGAGGTAGGCGATGGCCTCCTTGGTGTGGGCCCTGCCGTCGGCCCCGCCTGGCCGTGCCCGCAGGATGGCCAGGGCCCTGGCATGGCAGTGGCCTTGAAGCAGCTGCCGGTCTTCATGGTAGAAGATGTCCAGGGTGGGCTGGAGGCAGGCGGTGTCACCGGACTGGACCAGCTTCTTTACCAACTGCAGGGGTGCCACAGTCACTGCCCACACCCTTGGGACCGATGCCCTGGGGCCCACCCTGTACTGACGCCCCTGGCCATCCCCCACCCCATCCTCACTGCCCCAGGGACCATCTGGTGCCAACACCCCCAGCCCCACCCTTGCTGCCCCAGGGCTCACCCAGTGCCAATGCCCCTGGCAATTCCTCACCCCACCCTCTCTGCCCCAGGGCACATCCAGTGCCGCCACGCTGATCATCCCGTACTCCTGCTCGCTGCCTCCCCCAGCCCCTGGCTGTGTGTCCATAAGCCTGGGGGCTTCTCCCTATCTGAGTACTAGGAGGTTGGCTGTGTGTTGCAGCGTGGCCTTTTGAGCCTTTGGGGGCATTTTGTCTCCCCACAGGTGGGGGTCCCACAGCAGGCAGGGACTGTGTCCCCAGCTTGGTGCAGAGGAGCAGGCAGGGAGGGGAGCTGTGAGCCTGCTCTGGGCTGCAGTCAGAGCCGCGTCTGTCCGTGGCATGGCACTGTTGGGCTGGGGCTCTCAGGGTCCTGAGCCTAGGACTTCTTTGTCCCGTGGAGGTGGAGACCCCACCCCAGTGGGCCCACTGGAGCAAGGAATGGGTGTGCTCCCATGAGAAGCAGAGGAAGGGGCTTTTAGGTCAGGAAGGGTCAACAGGCGCCAGGGAGTCCTTCAGACGATGCAGAGCAAAAGCCCAGCACGGCCAAGTAGGACCAGGTCTCTGAGCGAGGGGAGACCTCCACCCCACAACTTCCCCTCTCCGCGGCTCCATCCGAAGGAGGCCCAATGCTGCCCCCTGCTGGCCGCTGGTGGGCACACGGGTTCCCCAAGCTGAGCAAGAGGATGCAGGTTCAGGGCATCCGAACCTGGGCAGGGCAAGGAGATCAGAACCCAAACCAGGCCCCAGGGGGAAGAAGGCACGACAAGGCCCTCACCCCAGGCCCCAAGGCCTGAATCCCACCAGAGCAGGTGAGGGTCTGCCTTTCCTGGGAGCGGGGGGTCTTGGAGGCAGGAAGGGAGGGCCCCTCTGCTACCCTCCCCAAGGCAGGGTTGCATCCAAGCCTAGTTTATGTGAGACACTTGGAGAGAAGCTCGGCCTGCAGTCGGTTCCTGGCCCTTCTGCTTCATAACCACAGCGGAAGCAAGTACGACAAAGCAGCTATGCATGCGGGGAATCTGCCGACCCCAGGGACCTGCCCCAGCCGATTTCCATGATGACCCGTGGGACCTGGACCCAGATAAGGAGACTGAGCGTCACACAGGTGAGGGCCTGCAGCAGGTGCAGAGCTGGGGCTGAATGCAGTCGCCTGGTCCAAAGCTCAGACTGCAGGGTCCAGCGCCAAGTCCACGGGAGGCCTATGCCCTCTTCCCAGCTGGGCCCGTTTCCACCTGCCCTCTCTCACCCCCCGGGCCTCCTCACCTGGTTGGCATCATAGAAAAAGCCCCTCCTCAGCTGCAACAGGGCCAGCCGTGCCAGCACAGGGGCTGCCTGGGGCCTCCGGGAGAGGGCCACCAGCAGGGCCTTGTGTGTCTCCTCCAGGCGGCCCAGGCGGTACAGGGCGTCAGCCGCCAGGAGGCAAGAGGCCTCGTCCTCCGAATCCAGCTCCATCAGCAGTGTGGCCAGCTGGTGCACGCCGCAGGCGTCCCTGGGTGGAGATCAGCTCAGAGGGGCCTGCCCCTTTTGACAACCCCTCCACCTGCCCAGGTGATTGGGCAGTGGGGAAATCCCATCTCCTGCACCTGGCCTGGGCGGCTCCCTCTGGAGGGACCCTCATGCCATGCCATCCCCAGAGGCCAAAGGTGCCCTTCCTATCACACGGCCCTCACGCCGTCCCTCACCCTTCCCCCACCCTGTGGGAGGTGGGATTGAGGCGGTATAGACAGACAGTGGCAGGGCTGACCCTGAGCAGACCCTGCCTCAGTTTCCTTTTCCGCAAAAGCACAAACGATTTGGCCTTGCTGGGCTCAGGGGTGTGCGTGCAGGCAGAGGAAGAAAACACGCGGCTGCATGTGGCACGTTCCCGTGTCCATGTGGGAATGGTAATAAGCGCTCACTGGGCAATG